AGCGTAGCGGGGTACAGCGCCACGCGCGCGTACCCCCAGCGCGCGGCGGCCATCCCGTGCGCGCCCGCGCGATGTCGCGACGTCACGCCGCCGTTTGCGCGCAAACGTGTCGCTATAACGACCGCGCAGGTGCGCGCGACGAAATCGTAAGCGGCGGCGGCGGCGGCGACCCGGACCGATGATGCGAGCGCGCGCTGTCCGTCCCGTCGCTGGCGCGTGCTCATGCGTCGATCGATAGACGCCGCGACGCGACCTCGGCGAGAGGTCGTCGTGTCGTCGCCGTCGTGGTCGTCTGCGGCGGTGGCCATCGCGGGTGCTGTGGCGTTGGCCGCTGCGCTTTGCGCTGCAGCCTGTTGCACTCGCCGTGTCATCGCGACGAGGTTGTTGTTATTGTTGTGATGTACCGATTATTATTGGACGCCGCGCGTCCCGTTCGCTGCAGGTGCTCAACGCCGGGGCAGTGCGGCGTATTACGTTATGCATTATGTATTGTTGTACACACCGAACGATGTCCTTATTTTCCGTGACTGATAGATTCCCAGGAAAAACGGTGCGCTGCACCGCGCGAGGTCCTGGTGGGGGTTGATTGCAAACCGTATCTTGTACTCCGATGAGGTACTCTGTACGGGTAGTTTTTTCCCATGCGATTACGAGTGCGCGCAAACGACGGAAAACTAAACACGTTCCAGAGGTTTTCTTGTAAATCAAAATAGATAACGTTTTGGGCACATATTGCGAAACAAAACACTAAATCGAACACTGAATACGTTATGCGTTCTCGGCGACTAGGTTGTACGTCTTCTTTACCACGTCTGCGGAGTTCGTGACGAATACGGAAACGCGTGCATCCTATCCTCGTGGTAACCGACTGTGAAATACCTATTGTCAGTGCTGGATCTAGGACGTTTGACGCCCGGGGCTAATAAAAATACGGTTCCCTTGTGTGGATGTGGAGCTGTGTGGCCGGGGGTCGACGTAAGAAAAAATGCTTGAACATAAAACAAAAAGTATATTTTCGTATTACAATTATTTGTATTTAAACTATTGTCACGAATGTCATAACACTCATAACTCATAATATAACAAAATCGACTATTCAATAGAAGAAATGAACGATACAAAATATAATATTATCGTATATACGAATATTCATGCGTCGTACATCATTAAAACAATAATAATATGCAATTAATATCGTCGGTCATCGGATTGAATACACTACGAAAACAAATAAACCTATAAAAGACGGCAACGCCGGACAAAAATAGTTAAAAATTACACATTAAAATATTGTATTTTTAAATAACTTGTTATGTATAATATTATTGTTTTTTTCTTATTATACGTTTGGAAATATGTTACAATTTATATATATTTTTATTATATTTTATTTTTGTTTTGTTATTTTTCATGAACTTAAAAGCGCGCTTATATCAACAGAGCCTGGGTAACGATACTCACCGAGTCCCTCTAGATCCGGCATTGCCTATTATTGTCACATGTGGGCTATATTTAAATATGATTAAAACTAACTAAATCCTGGTTGAATAAAATTATAATAATAGAATTTACTGACCATAGGTCATTGGTTTACAATTTATATGGTGATTTGCATCTTGCCGATATCGATGTAACTAAACTATACTAAGTGTATCTATTTATATCATTGTCAATATAAAAGTACCTATATCTATTGACACTCTAATTATTTTTCGTTGAAATGTGAATAAAATACGCGATGTTGGAAATACTTTATCGTATTAACTTTACTTTTTCCAATATATCTGCAAATTAAATGGAATTCTATTAATTATCAATGTAGCTAAATTTAAAAATAAATACAGACATTTTAAATTGTGTAGGTATAAGATGTAAGTATTTCTGGAAAACGTGAGTTGGGTTCCGAGATATAATACTCGAATTGGGTTGGTGGTATTATTTGATATTACTCGAATTAGGTCCAACGTAACTTGCCAGTACATGGGCGCCCATTGAAGAGGGGCAAGACTGGGCACTTGCCTTCCCCCCTGGAAAAATAATATGATCTTTAAGTATTATTGTTATAGATATTATCTAATTACCTTTTTTTTTTTTTTTCCATTGAAAATCACTACATGAGGGCCGAACTGTTTTCACATTGATTAACCCTTTTCACATTGATTAACCCTTTTTCACATTGCTTAACCCTATTCACATTGCTTAACCCTATTATCTAATTACCTAAAGAGCATATAAATTACTTTTTTCTTTATTACTATGGGGATTTGAAATAATACAAATATTTATTACTAAATAATATATAATATTTTTTATTTTTTAAAATTAATCTAATACCTACATATATACCTTAACGCAACAAAAAAATAAAATTTTTGGGTGACATTCTAGCCAACATTCACGTGGTGTTTCCTGAGTAACGAAAATAGGCTAGTCCTAACTTATATACTCTATAAAATATACAGGAACCCAACTCGAGTTTGTCTAGTATTTTTTAATTAAATAAAATTGTAAGTACTTATATTTGAAACTAAATATTATAGCCTATTCTATTTAAAAAATACACTTAAATATTTTAGATTTGGATGTGCGGAATGATGAATTGTTAAGATATTGATTTTACAATATGTTTTATTTTTTGTATTGAAAGACATTTTTTATGAAAGAAAAATGTCTCAATATTTAACTGCAATATCTTCTTTAGTATAAATGTAAATCTAGTTATTACTTTGGGGTCACGGATAAAAAAGGTAAAAAAGTGGATACCGCTCTGCTATACATTAGGTATGGATCAATGTAAAGGGTGTGTTAAATTTGAATCCAATGATATATAATAGTATAAAATATATGTTAAACGATTTTGAACAGAGTCCGTCTGTCAGCCTATATTACTAAGTATATTCCGTAATATGTTTTTGTTATAGTTACTAAATTTATTATAGTTAATAATATTTATTTTACTTTTAATGCTACAGTAGGTTTATATATTTTTTTTCTAAAAACATTGCATTTATTATATTGTTATTTTTATTAATATTTAGTTATTAAAATAACATTTATTTATACCATATTATATTAATGTTATAAACTTTTTAGTTAACAATACCTTACTGTAAAAACTACAAGGCAAGTATTAACTTTGAAAAATCCATTAAATTAGTATTTATTTATGATCCAACGTTATTATTAAAATATTTCTAAAATGATTTGGTGTTAAGTCCAGAGCATAGGATTAGTTACAAATATAAGGAAAATGAAATCGTTCGTTAAATAGATTAAAATCTCATAGCTTTGTTTCCTTTGAAATATGTTAAGAAAGTTGAGCACTATTCATACGTTAATAATATTATCATCATTATTTCTATCATATACGTATTGTTATTTATTAATTGTTTAGGTATGATGTTTAGGTGGCGTTGTGCTATAAAACTATAATTTATCAAATGACTAATGATTTACGAGATATCGTACTATTTATATTATCGATGAACTATTGTTATACTTTAAAAGAAGTAAGAACATACATCAATGAAACTTTCCACAAAGACTATTACAAAATCAAATAGTTTGGAAATATAGCGATTTTCACAAATACTTCCTCCTTATTTAATAAATGTAAATACATGTAACATGAATAAAATAAGTGAATGTTTCAATGATAATTTTAAAAGTTTTAAAAAAACTTAACATTCAAATATTTTAATTTTAAATATTACATTACTGAGATCAAATTCACTAGCAAATATTAAATTGTTAAACATCCAAACTGTATTTTGACAAAAAAAAAAAATAAATAAATAAATAATAAATATGAACAAATGGTTAAACTATATGTTAAAGAATAACAAAAAAATCAATTTTATTTTACAAAATGTACTATTTTTATGTTAGAATTTTTAATCATTTTTATTAGTTATATTTAAAATAATATGTTTACTTATTTCTTTTTTAAACAACTTTTTACTGTCCCAAATTAGATATATTATGTAGTATGATATTTGTTTTAAACATTGCACTTATTATTTTTTTTAATTTTTTTTTATAATGATTTTTATTGTTCTAAGTAGTCAACGATCAAAAATATACATCTATAATTTATTAAATTTATAAAAATATTTGGAAATTTATTCTATATTTAGACAAAATTAGACATTGGGTGAAAAAAAAATTATAATAAACTTTTAAAAAATATGGTAGAAAATTTTAATGATCCATCAATGGTATAACTTTATTAAAATAATAAAATATACATATAATCATAAAAAATTCATACTTACACTACTACTGTATCTATTTTTAAATAGTTAGCAAATACAATATAATTTTATTTAGTTTCAATACACCACTCACATTTAAATGTATAATCAAACGCTTTTTCTTAGTATTTTTAATACTTTTGATATATCTGCTAAGTTCTACAAAATGCGGCAAAATTTATTCAGAAAAGTACAACATTTTCGCTTTGTAAGTAGTAAAGATTAACCAATATGAATGCCGTATTGCATATCTTACGCCTTATGGTATACATTATAGTAGTATATACTTCACCACACACATATCAGTATGCAGTATCGCTATCGGCTAGTCATACCATTTCCTACAGCCAAATGTTCGAGTAATATTTGTCCATAGATCGTATTGATTCACTATAGACTGATAACTGATGAGTTATTGTTGATTATGTACACTTCATACTGCACACTAACCTAAACCATAAATAGACGTAGTAATATCATGTTAGGTATATTGTAATTTTTCAGTCACAACTCAGATAAGAAAATAAATAAAAACAAAGTCGGTTAATGACAAAAATAAGATCACATTTTTATTGTTAAAAGTAGAATAAGAAAACTACGAGTTACAGGAAGGTTGAGAATCATTGTTGTAAGAGCATTTAGTAGTGATAGGCGACTGGATATCCGGCTTTATAGGCTGGGATGTAAGTCTTTTCGTATTTGCCGGGCCAGTATTTGCCGTCATCTTCTGGGTAGCTTGGGTATGCGGCCTTGTAGGCTGGAATGTAAGTCTTTTCGTATTTGCCGGGCCAGTATTTGCCATCATCTTCGTGGTAGCTAGGGTATGCTGGAGCGGCATATACTGTTGCTGCAGGGTACGTTGCTGCTGGGTATACAGCGGGTGCAGGGTATGCAGCTGCTTTCACGGCATAATTGTAGGGATAACTGGTATAATCAGAGTATGCATATGAAAACGATCCAGGAGCTGAGGCAGAGTAACCCAAAATCGCTATTGATAAAAAAAAAAATTGATTAGAATGTAAATTAGAATCGGTTTTACTGCAGGATGCATTTTGATTTTGACGAGATTTCATTTACATACAGGTAATAAGTATAATACGAGTAAATCGAATGATCTGTATAACGTTCATTATTAAAAAAAAAAAATTATTGACATTTTTGAAAATATTTTTTAAATAATTTTAAATCGTTAAAAACACAATTTTTCTAAAAAATATATTTTTACAATTTTTTTATTGTTATTATTTTACTAATTTATTACTTTTTTTAATGAAAATATGCCCAATTTTTTATTCCAAAGTACGTATAATATTTTTTTCAATACTTTGATGCATAAAAATTAAATATGTGACTAGTAGTTTATGAGCTATAAGTATTTAAAGCTTTGATGAATAGAGTGGAGTGTACAGTTGTGTGTACCTCACAAAATGTTGGCCTACTACTTAGCTCATCAAAACTTTATATAATGATTTAAAATTATGTAACAGAAATATTTTCAAAAACATTAGTACTTTCTGAAATAATAAGTGTTTTACGTTAGATAGATCACCCCGTATATAAGTTACTGTATTAAATTTATTTAACAATTGGCACTTACGAGCTGGGGCAGCGGCAATGTAAGCGTGTTTCTTTGCTCTTACTCCTTCTTCGGCGGCAACAGAGTACACGGCCAAGGCGATGAATATCTATAAGACGGAAAATCGTAATAATAATATTGCATATACAAATTCAAATTGTATAATAGAAATAAAATACAAAGTGAAAAATTTTAACCACGGATCGCAATGTAACTTTTATGATTTTTAATATTACTATTTAATTTCAGATTTACAATCTGCAGCACAATGCAATAAAACGGTAGAATATATTCAGTATAGATAACAATATTATAAGTGTGAAATTTTAATCATTTTTTACCTATAGACTATAGAGTATTATAAATTCGTGAAAAATTATATAGGTATCGTAGCACATGTATACATTTTTTTCCCTTATATGCAAAGCAATACTATAATAGAAGCTATAGATGATAAAAGTCGACTACCCACGTTTTGAATGTTTTGAAAATTTTTTGATGGTTATTCAGTAACTATATATTGTATCAATTTTTTTTAAATCCTGCACTTATCATTAAAATAAAAAAATCATGTTATATAATACCAAATAATTAATATAAATATACAGATATGTATACTCTGCTTGACTAAACAATCACAATTCGTCAAGCCAAAATTATATCATATTATCAATTATTTTTTTCATAATCAAAATTTTTTAGAAATAATATACTTTATTATTATTACTGGCGTGAGAATTTGTATTTAAAGAATCGATTGAAAACTATAAAGTTATAAAATATTGTAGCTATGCATAAAGATAATCAGTTCTACTACATGGGCACTATTGATAATAGTCGATAACGCCTACGCTGCGATATTGTGTTGTTAAAGCTGCAACTCACCAGATACTTGAAAGAAGCCATTTCGTGTTTGGTGGTTTCTTCTTGCGTTGTTTTCAACGGATCTGCAAACTTCAACCTGTGGTCGATGTGTGTACTTGGAATGTGAGTGATATATGTGATGTCAATGCCGGGTACTACAGCCCTTTTATACAAACGGTAGTACCTATACCTAACCATGATATCATGGGGTAGGTGTTCCTGTCCCCACTCATCATACAGGGCGTTGTCAGTCTGAAAGAATAAAATCCGGATCCCGTATATTAACATTACCTATACTTAAATTTACTTATAAATATTGGGCGGTGGCGAATGCACTATTAAATGGCGATTCATGGTGACAATGACCTTGGATCTTGACCGTGTGGAAGGATAACTGGAGGAGGGCACTTGATCGCATTTAAAAAATGTAACAATTCTTAAGCAACGAAATAAAATAAAAATATTAAAACGCACAGACACAAAATTAGGCGTTGCCGGACATGATAATTTACATATATTATTTCATAGCTACTGTACGCATGTACTGCTATACGAGTATTACACAATATTATACGTATATTTGAGTATAAATTATTACGTGAAAATAATTAAAAATTATCCAAAAAATAACGTTGCTCTTAGCTAATGGTGTAGAACGTATAATACACATGTGAATTGTATAATAATAGTAATAACTGCAATTATCGGAACAGGGGGCGTACGGCCAGTCATTCAAGTTCACCGCGGTGACGACTGTCGTAAGTAAATAAATTTAATATTAATTATAATATATTATTATTAAACAATAAGCTATGTATACTTTTTTGCAGTAAATTCTTGAGTTCAACATAATATATATATATATATATATATATTTTTAGGCTTGTACACCGATATAAGTGTAATATGCTATATATTTTTACGTAAATATTACTATGACTTGTCAAATCTCAGGTTTGGTCCAAGTCTTATAATTTTTTTTATATTTGATAAGCGTATTAAAAAACTTAGAATGATTCACAGGTATTAATTATTGAAATTGAAAATTGAATGCATAATACAGCCTATTATGGGTTATGATAATTTACATAATTCCTAGGTTAATTTATTAAAAATCTCAACAAAATGAGTTCGGTCATCTTTTAATTTTTTAAGTCCTTGAGTATAATCCAAAGAATATTATAGGTACTATGAAAACAAAATTATATTTATACTATACTTTCCTTTCCATTACTTTCAATCGGGCAAAATATAACTTTTTTGAGGGGTGAAGGATAGTTAATTAAATATGGTTGGCTATTAACTAAAATCCCTCAGAGGTTTAGTATATTGATGGCAAGCGTATAAATATAAAATTAAAAATACTCTTACAATAATATTTATACAAAAAATAATTTTAATACTTAGTTATCTCTTACATAATACAGAACACGAAAACCATTTTTAAATTTTTCTAAAATTTCGGGTAAGGATGCATCTTTAAAAACGTCACTGCCTTTATCATTCAATAGTCAATCTTCACAACATATTTCAATGTTTGCTTAATAAGGAGAGGGCAAATTGTAACTAGCCTTAAAAAGAAGTGAAGTTACCCTTATTTTAAATTATATGTTTCTTTGATAGATAAACTACTGTATATACTAATGTATCCAATAATTCCAATATATAAAAATAAAAATAAAAAACTAAAGAACTACAAACTTGCTCTGTAATATGAAATAATTGTATACAAAAAACAATTCTTAGCAAAAACGGTTTGATCAGCTTCCAGACTCTATTTTTAAGGAAACTTATAATTTATTTTTCTATTAGCAATGCAATGTATCCATTGAACTAGTTTAATAAAATAGTTAATTTACATTAATTTATAACTCATGTCTCGTGTGTTTTACATTCATAATTTATAAGCTATATACTATATAATATACATATAAGTTACACATAGCCATAAAAGTATTCATACGACTTTGCTTATTACGATATTGTTAAGTTATTTATGAGTACATAATAATTATCGAATTTACAATGTCATTATAAATAAATAGATTTTAATCTACGATGTATAAGAATAATATTAAAAACTAAATTAGGAATTAAATACCTATAGACATTGAAGGTCATTTTTCGAATTTTGGTCAAATGCTTAGTCATAGTCCATACTATGACTACAATCATACATTGAGTTCAGTCCTTAAAATGAATATATGTTATTAAAATTATCAATACTTTATAGTTTTATACTGTATAATATACTATTAGAATTAACATATTATATAAATATACAAAACTTATTGTCTATTACATTTGTTGAACGATGTAATCAAATATGATTACAACTGCTGTTGCGAACTCCAAAGTGTTACAGGTTGAAAGGTTGAAATAATGAAGTGTGAATAATTCTTATACAATCAATGAATAGTGTTATAGGTATTTTCTGTTACGTTTATTGTAAAATCGACGAAGTAAATATTAAGAGTAAATTTGTCGTCGACGTGTTAGTTAGTGAGATGTTATTTTGAGCTTTATTTTGATGCCACGTCTGATAAATCCCTGCTAATCTGGGGGACAAGCTCTCTTAGGATAGTCTGCTTGCCCTTGCTATTTTATCTCCGTATAACTTTACTATACATGGCTCCCATACTTCTTTTTATATCGGCAGGATGCACCTGCAGAATGTCCTGCGAGTCTGATGCCTAAATACACTGTTTCAGATGGTACCATTTAACATTTAGCATAGTTAAAATATATTTTTATAGTTGCTTTATAAATATATTTATATATTCCCATAATATTATATACAATATATACACACCTATTAATTACAACTCTATATATGTATATTCATAATATTATATATACACATGCATAATAATTACAGCTATTGCTACACTGTGGTATAAATAGGTAATACAAATTACGGTAAAACTATTAGTTTACTGGTCCAATCCACTTTTTGAAATGTTTTGTCAATTTATGTTTAATTTATGTTTAATTTATGTTGCTGAAAACGATAGTATACTCAGTTAACAGAATACAACGTTGGATTACATATTTTTGTGAAAAAAGTATAGGTATTAAAATTATCCAATGTTAAACTAGTATGACAGGCTTAGTTAATAATTATGATAGAACAAGACAAGTAGAAACATCATAGTTGACCTTTAATACTATTTACTGAGTTAAGAAACAGCTAATAAGTAATAACTCATAGTTTATAAATTTATAATACCTTTTTCAACATTCACCAATTATAATAAAAATATGGTTCTGCAGATCAATTTGAATAAATCTAATATAATAAAGTTATTTATCTTTATTTAGATTACAATTTTATTTTTTCACCCTACCTCAATATTATTTACGAAATTATTTTTGGATACATTTTTTGTTAATATGGTTCAACGACTGGAATACAAACGATTTTTTCATTTCATTTAATGCGTTTTTAATAAATTAAAATTAACTTAAAAATTGCTATACAATTATCAATAATTATTACATTTGAGTTTAATTTAGCATTAAACAGAGCACCAAAGTGAGATAAATGTTCATTAAAAGTATTTTTATTTTACAAATTCCATATATATTTACAAATCACAATTTTTTAATCGAAAATGATTTAAAATGTATTCACAATTCAAATATTACTCGTTTTTTATCAAAATTATATTGCCTCACTGATAATTTAAAAACGTACTTTTTATCATGTAAATTTAATATAATTTACACACAACTCTGTGTTTTTTCACTAAATACATTCAATCGTATTTAATTATGACATTAAAAAAAAATCCAATTTACCTAATAGTTTTAATATTTATTATTTCATAAATAGGTAAGCTTTGAAATAAAAAATAAAAATGTATCTTACTAGTGAGAATCTCCGTGCTCTTTTTCATAATATTATTTAATTTAATATAATTTGTTATTTGAATTAAAAATTTAATTTGGAAATTATGTATTTTATATTTCTAAAATATATTCTCGATTTCATATTTAATGCATTAATATATAAAGACATTAAGATTAGTTTTAAAAATATATAATAATTACTACATATTATTTTCATGCGAATTAATTGGTGCAATTAAGATTATACTATAGTTCATCAAATTACGATGTGATAAGTAATGACCAAAAGAAATTTATTCATTCTGTCTTTAGTATGTAAGCTATAGCGATTAGTAATACTATATTTTACGCTATTTTTAAAACAACTCGCATTTAATGGTGTTTAAAAATGATATCGTCAAATGTAAATGAAAATGAAAAAGAAAAATCTACAGCTGTGTACGATTCAAATTCTTCTAAACCAAATCTTAAAGGAGACTGGTCGAATTTTTTCTTGCTACTATTACTGTACACTATGCAAGGTTTTCCTTTGGGCCTTACTTCATCTATACCAATACTTTTACAAAGCCAGAATGATATATCCTACCAAGATCAGGTAAATTGATATAATAAGAACCAAAATATTGAAGATAAATTATTATTTTGCTGCTGAGTCCAAGAAACATCATATGTAAAAATCATACTATATATAATATAATTGAAATATTTTTTTTATTTTTTTCAGGCTTTGTTTAGTTTAGCTGGATGGCCATTTAGTTTAAAACTGTTATGGGCTCCTTTAGTAGATTCACTCTATATACAAAGAATAGGAAGGCGAAAATCTTGGCTCATTCCAGTACAATACTTAATGGGTAATACATTTAATATTCTTCATAATGCTTTATGATAAACGAGCATAATTTAACTGACAGGGAAATTAATTTCATTTCAAAAATTATTATTTCAATTTTTAAGACACAAAGAAATAATTATATACCTATCTACTCTTATTTGGAGCTTATAATTTATGTTCAGACTGAGCTGAGTCGAAAACCATTAATGATTAATGGCTTTATATTTAGATTTATAAAATAAAAGCAGGGCTGTGAATTTAATGCACTAAAAAAAATAGAAGTAGAAAAATGTTTATAAATATAAGCACATACATTTTTATACGCTTAAAATTTTAAAATATGCAAATTCATACAAAAAAAATAAGCTTGTTAAAATTAATTCATAGATAGGTTTTTAATGTGTATTGTATAATATATTTTATATATTAGTATACGTGATGTGAGAATACCAATCAATACTAAATA